GTCTGGGATGATTATTGCAGGAGTATAACGCCCTGTATTACTAATTATGAATATAATTTTTTTTTAAATGAAGTGTGATTTCGAATATTTTGAATATAAGCCGCACCCCACTTTTCCTCTTGAATTTTTGGCAAAAAATGCGCGGCCTATATATGCGTAAATACGGTATACTGTAACGTGTTATACGTCATTCATTTCGTGAGTATAGTTTATTTTTCATTGTTTTTCATTTCGTTTTCTTAACTGTTCTCCTTATTTTTCAGTGCAACTGGCGGTGGGAGTGAGCTGTGTCGATTGATCTGCGTTTGAATTGAAATATTTCGTTAGTATTTTTTATTTTTATTTTTTTTTTATTTTTTGTTTCTTTGTTTTCCAGTTCGTGTTCTTTCCTTTTTTAATGTTTTGCAATTTTATATGTTTTTGTTATAACTTTCTTTCTTCTTCTTCTTCGGTGCAATCGATCTGCTTTAGTTCATCCAAATAATGCCTCGCAGAAGATCAAACTTAGGTCGTCGTACTCGCGGAGCGGAAGCAATTCACTCGATCTGCCACAGCAACGCGTGGCCGGGTACAGCTAGTTATTAATAATTTTATTTTAGAAGTGAAAATTTTGTGGCCCACTTAACAGTTTCCATGGCCCTCCATTTTTTCCAAATTTTGTCTGCGGCCCCACAGAAATACGGCTTGGCCCACTGGGGGGCCATATGGCCCCCGTTGAGAACCACTGTTCTAAAGCACTACAGTTTAAAGGAAACAGATTGATAGAAGGGTGTGATATGCAACCATTGGTATGTTTACAGAATGGGATGCTGAAAATAATGTAATTTTGTAACAAAATCGACAAAAAATGTTGCACAATGCAAAATTAAGAAATTAAAAAAAATCGTTTTAGAATGCTTCTTTCCTAAAACATGAACGATTTAAAAAGTGTTTGTATTGTATTTCTAATTTATTTTGATTGAAATTCGAAGAAGAAAAGATTTCTCGCCAGTTTTCAAATTACTGTATCTCTTTAATTATGAGTTGGATACCATTAGTATATTAACATTTTTGTTCCAAATTACCTCAGGAATGCCCTCCCTAAGTGGGGGTAAAACTTTGTGAATCACCCTGTATTATATTAAGAAATATTATTTTATGATCAATTCATGACTGTAACACCACAGAAGAAGTGTGCGTCAGTGTGTTCTTGCCCCAAATCCTATTCCCACAGCTTTTTAAAAGGCAGCACTATTCATACATTTCCAAGCACTTCCTGGTTCCTACTTAACACTTTGTGGACCGCGCACCCTTTAAAAGGTTTTTCGCTTTTAAACATGGCGGACTATTCGCGTGTTAACAGGCTTTTCAAACACGATAAGCTGCAACACACTATACATTGCTCTGGCGCCACCTACATTGCACGCAACAGCTTGCAGCTGCGTGATAAGACTCTGGAATGTTTAGTTAGCAGTCAGTAACGTGACCTCGCTGTTTACTTAACCGACTATAAAGGAAAATGCTTTGCCTTCTTCAAGCTGTGTGTATCAGCCAGTAGCTAGTGGGCAGAATGGATCAAAGACAAATTCTCCTCCGATGACCTAGTTGACCTGCCTTGTGAGATGCGTAGTAATGGATTAATTGTCATTCAGACAGCAACAGTGATGGGGGACAACAAAGAATTATGGCCACAGACAGCAAAAGTGACAGTAGCTCCGATGATAATGCGGGTAATAACATTGCGCGTAGTAACATTGCAGGGACAGCAAAAAATCTAAGAAAAATCTAAACCCTGATTCTAAATTGAAATACAAAGCATTTCTGATGAATGTGGCAAAGGCCTGGGCTACAGTCCAGATGATGGCAGCAGAACCAGGGTCACACAAAGACTTAGTACGATCGGGCCCATCAACTCCCACCCCACAGCGCCTCATGAGTAATATGTGGAAAAATAACCTCGTGAAAATTGTGAAAAGTGAACATTCCAAGGGGAAGAATACTTCTAGGCAATGCCGTGTTTGCACAGTTCACAAAAAAAGGAGTATGTCTACATTTGCAAGTTCTGTGTAATGCCACTTCACAAAGGGGAAAGTTTCCAGAAATATCACACCTTCAAGCACTTCTAGGAGCATTTGTAAGTATTCTCCAAAAATTTTAGTTCAAAAAATTAATTAGGAGATTTTATATTAATTTTTAAAGTGAACAGTGTACAAGTTAGGGTAGTATGTTTAAAAATGCCGGTTCCCAGGGTGATTTAAATATCTAAATCACCGGTCTGCGAAGTGTTAATACTGATGCTTGAGTGTCACTGAAACTCTCTAAACTGAATGAAAATGTGATCATGAAGTAATTTAATGTAACACAACATGGAAGCAAAATTAACTTAGTCTGCCTCATCTTGTTGTGGAATTCTTGCATCCAGAGCCTGCACCATCTCAGAAGCCTCCTGTACACAACCAGCACAGACTATGATCTGGCCTGCAATGCAAATGGTACAGCAAATTATAGGGATGTACATACAATACATGACGAGTTTTATTTTTCTTTCATTAGTGGCAAGGATTGAACCACAGGAAGTGCTGTTATGTCCTGACTGGCTGATGCCCTGTTCTAGACAATGCCACCAACCAAGCCTACATGTGACTCCCCCTTTCACAAGTTATCACCTGAAAGCAGGAGTACACCCATCATTTTAAAATATAATATTCAAACATATTGGCTATTCTCCAGGACAACACACCAGGAGGGAACCACAAATTAGCACATAATTACAGGCAGTGATTTTCGAGAAATTCTCTCATCAATGTGCATTAGATGTTCCTAGAAGTTGACCAATGTTGTCATTTTTTTAATATACTGCACTATTCATAATGTATGAATTTTAATGTTAAATATAGCTGAAGTTCCAAATACATTGCTCATTATATACTCTACTGGAATTGGTGCCACACTTCATTGCATAATCCACATCCATATGCCAAGTGTTCTGATCAGCCATAATGGTCCATAGTTACTGCAAAAATAATATTCATATTCAAAGCTCTCAATATATCATACAATGTGTATAAATTTTATATAACTGTGAATTACTACACATAGCATATGTAATTATTTGTGTTACATGGCTAACCATTGAAATAATACATTACACAGATGTGTATTTCCAATACATATGAAAATTCAAGATTGTCCTCAACGTTTTGAATTTCCAATCAGCTTAACTTAGCTATGTCTAGGAATAACAATGCACCTTTAATATATGGACTCCTCATAGCTGGAGTGAAGCGACAGTGGGATCAATTCCTGCATACTCTTCCTCAGCCTTCTTCAAAATCATACACACAAGGGAACGAGAGACAACTTCTTGGATCCTCTTGCTTTGCCTAAAACCAGTGACATCCTCAAACACTTTGGACCACAATATCTTCCACAATGCCTCTCGAGCACTGTCAACAAAAGACTGTTCGTATAAACAAATGCAAATTTTAATTCACCCCTTAATGTCTACAACAATTTGCACCACACATATTAACATAACACCTTTCACAGCTAATGTGTATTCTAAGTAAAGAGCCCCACCCATTTCTAATTTGCAAAATCA